ATTAGAAAAAGATACAGATATTGCTTTTCGTCAGTTTTCTCTGTCGCATTGCGGAAACGTGAATGTATGGCAGTATTCAGTCTATTTGTACTATATGTCTATGGTTTGCTACATGCATTTTCGCTTTTATCTTTTATGTGACAAAGTTATCAGCGATATCTAAATAGCTCCAATCCTTCAAAAGTATATGGTTTTATTGTTACATTAATGCTCCATTCTATATCATACCTTTTGTCTGTTAATGAACTTTTATTTGGTTTTCTTGTTATTGACTATAACACCGTTTTTTTTATGTTAAAAGCATTATTCAATATATTATAATGTGTAATTTCTCTGGCTGCTGACGAACAGAAGTTTTTATTAACTTTTCTTTAATATAATTATATATGCAGATTTGTATTTTGATCTTCTCACGGTGCTAAAGAGCAAATGTAATAGTTTATTGTATTTTTCCATAAGATTTCTAGTTTTTCACTGTGTCATGGCTCCTCTTATTTCTTTTCCTACGATTTACATTAATTCATTTAATTATTTTTTCTGAAATTTCAAGTTTATACACAATTTCTTTTGTTCCGCTTATTTATCTAAGATATGTTATTCATTCTTATCTATCTATCTATCTATCTATATAAGGATTTTTACAGCTGTCGCCGCCTTCTTTCTTTCAGCCAACGTCTCCAGTCCTCTCTGTTCTGCCATTCTCCATCTCTAAGGTCTCGTTTTTCCATGGCCTCGTCCACTTCATCCCTCCATGATCTTCGGGGTCTACCTCTTTTTCTCCTTCCTATTGGGCTCCAATCCGAAATCCTTGCTATCCACCTTGTATGATCTGTTCATTCTTATCTATAGATGTGCTTATTCCCTATCAATTATCTATCAATATTTGAAGTCTTTTTTTATTTGTTTCAGTCATTGTAATGATTCGCATCCGTACATAAAAATAGATCTAAAGCTTGTGTTATGCTCTAAACTCCTTCAGTGGTAGTATTACCAACTGCGATTATTGTTCTAAGATATTTAATGTCTTCCATACTTTCGAAATTGAAATTGTTGACTTTAACGTTGTATCTAGATTTACTGACGGTCTCTTATGTTATGCGCTGGTATTTGGCTTTCACTTCGTTGAGTTTACTTGAAACTTTTTTCGTGCTCTCTGGACTTTGTTCAGTATGTCGTTTACATATTTATAGATGTAATCATCAGCATAACTAGGAGCTGCTTTGTACCTTGGGCCGTTAATGGATTACATCGTAAATCGGCGCTGTTTCTATTTTAATAAATTGTTCTTTAATTTTTTTACTATTTAAATCGAGAATCTGTATTTTATTCGACTGTTTATTAAAGCAGAGTTTCTTGGGGCCAATTTCTCTCTCAAGGTTTTGTTTTCCGTATCAATATTACAACAATTTTGCTGGATGCCGACATAGGAAACCCGTTGGTATGTACATACTGTTTCGATATCTTTTTGTCTCGTTATAAAGTGAATATTAGTTTATTAGGAAATATGATATTGTCTAATAATAGTTAAGTTGTTTTGCTTTGCTTTCTCAGACTGCCACCGTCGTACCTTCTGGTATTTGATATTTCAACCGTCAAGCAACAATTCCTATATGCATTAACTTAATGCTGATATCCTGCTTCCCCAATCCAGTTAGCAGTCCCGAAACCAATAAAATTGCTACATTCAAGTTTTCTATTAAGCTGCCCAGAACTATAGGTACGCCTTATTATCTTACTGATGTTAGTGCTGCCCCTTATAAGTGAATAAAATATGAAAGGAAGGTTTTGGTAATTTAATAAGATCCTTGTGTTACAATATAATGTCTCCGAGAAAGTAAAGTAATATCAAAAAGCTATTCGGATTTAATCCATAGCTAAAATATTAGAATGCTATAAAATAATGCTATATATTAGCATTAATAAGTTTATAATGGATGAAGTTTGAAAATAATTAGAGAAAGTAATTTAAATTATCAAAGTGCTTATTAAACATAAAAATAAAATAAAATTATATTAACAATTTATATTATAATATATTTAAAAACAGTAGCCAAATATTCTTGGAATTCCTCGATGACTAACCTGGTGGATATCTAAATAAATTTTAAGTTCTAAAATGTACCTGCTCTAAAATTTGAAAATCTACGACTAATACAACTACTGGCAACATCGCAGGAGCTTAGTTGTGTACGCTAAAAGCTGTATACGGATCCCAAAAATGTTTTATCCAGTTACGGAGTCCACTTGATCCGACGTGTTGGTCGGAGTCTACATAAAGCGCTACTCAGATAATAATATACACGGCGTATATTCTCCTGGAGTTAGTATAATACCGTTTTAGTACGGAGCCCATATTAACCGCTAGAAGTATATATATATATATATATATATATATATATATATATATATATATATGACTTACCAAAACGTAAAACGTGGAACAGACATTAACGAACTGACAAATAAAAGTTGATATCTCATGGTTTACTGTCATTAGTATATAATTATATGGGCGTATCATTGATGTTTTCGAAAAAGGTAAAGTGGAGATATGGTATGACTTTAAGAGCGTTTTATGATGTTTGTTATTATTATTTAGATCAGATTGAAATATATTTTATTTAGGTTTTGTGTATCTTTTTTGTCATTTATTGACAAATGGTTTGGTATTTCTTTTTATTTCTATTGATTCGTATATCTCCCTCTTTTTTTTTGTTTTATTCTGTTTTTAAAATTTTTATGTTTTCAAAATCAAATTTATACTTTTTCTCACTTTCATGTTTTGTGAGCGCAGTGACGTTTTTTTTGTCATATTTGTGAGAACGAATTCTGGATTGAAGCAGTTGACTGGTTTGACCGATATAGACACCTTCAGAGTTAATACATGGTATCTCGTAAACAACATGCGATTTTTTAAGTTTTGGAGTTTGTGTTTTTAGTTTTGTGAAATTTTAAGAGGTTGTTTCCTTTGTGGGCCACTGTTATATCATGTTTTGCCAACAGACCAACTGCAATAAAAAAAGCAAAAAATGCCCTTCTAAAGAATGCATATCCCGAACATCTAATCGAAACTATTTTCAAATCAAGACTCAATAAATTTTATAACAATACTTCTTCTTCTTTGGGTGCCGTCTTCAATGAAGGTTGGCGATAACCTTAGCAAAATCATTTCTGTCCCTGGCTTTTCTTATTAAAGATTGAGAATCCAAACCAGTCCACTCACGAATGTTCTTCAACCAGGACGCCTGCCGTCTACCAGGACCACGTTTTCCTTCTACCTTCCCCTCTACAAGAAGCTGCAGTAGCTGGTATTTCTCATTTCTGTATATGTGTCCCAAATATGAGGTTTTCCGTGTTTTCATTATTTTTAAGAGTTCTCTGTCGGTACCCATCTTGTGTAGGACCTGCTCGTTGCTCATATGCGCTGTCCAGGGGACTTTCAGCATCCTTCGAAATAACCACATTTCAAAACTTTCCAAACGCCTTAGTGAGTTGATTTTGAAGGTCCAGGCCTCCATTCCATATAATAAGGTGCTGTAAACGTAACATTTCAGCATTCGGTATCGGATTTTGAGATTGAGTGTTTGGGACGTAAACATTTGTTTCATTTTTAAAAAGACATTTCTTGCTTGTTCAATTCGCGATTTTATTTCTATGTCTGGATCTATATCTTTCGTTATCCAGCACCCTAGATATCGAAATTTCTCGACATTTTCGATAATGTTACCATTCACGTTTAAAGCCATAACAATACAACTTACAATAAACCCAACAGTATCAAAACTACTTACATAAGTCTTCCATATATAAAAGGATTATCCGAACAACTAACAAATCTTTTGGCCAAACATGATATAACAGTGGCCCACAAAGAAAACAATCTCTTAAATAAATATTTTACAAAACTAAAAACACAAACTCTAAAACTTAAAAAATCACATGTTGTCTACGAGATACCATGTATTAACTGTGAAGGTGTCTATATCGGTCAAACCTGTCAACTGCTTCAATCCAGAATTCGTTCTCACAAATATGACAAGAACAACGTCACTGCGCTCACAAAACATGAAAGTGACAAGAAGCATAAATTTGATTTTGAAAACATAAAAATTTTAAAAACAGAACAAAACAAAAAGAAGAGGGAGATATACGAATCAATAGAAATAAAAAGAAATACCAACGCAATAACTGACAAAAAAGAAACACAAATCCTAAATAAAATATATTTCACTCTGATTTAAATAATAGGTAATAATAAACATCATAAAAAGCTCTTAAAGTCATTACATATCTTAACTTTACCTTTTTCGAAAACATCAATGATACGCCCATATAAAAATAATTATATACTAATGACAGTAAACCATGAGATATCAAAAATCAACTTTTATTTGTCAGTTAATGTCTGTGTCACGTTTTACGTTTTGGTAAGTCATATATATATATATATATATATATATATATATATATATATATATATATATATATATATATGACTTATATATATATATATATATATATATATATATTTTACAATATCTGTTTGTCCTTATACATATACATTTTAGAATCTTGACAAAGGCAAGGGTTTCCTGTCGAAACGTTGATTGTTATGGAAAATAAAATCTAGTTCCACATATAATAATATATCTTTATTGAACCTAAATCCAAGAAACACTAATTTTATATTAAATATAATACGGTTCAAGAAACTCACAACTACTAAAATTACTACGATAAATAGAAAAAAAATTTAATCCACTTTGTAATATTTTCAAAATATTTAAGCCGAGTGTAATGTACTATGAAGTAATATAAACAAAGCTTGTTGAAATAAACTAATCGATAAAAGTCCTTTAAAAGATTAAATTTGTTTAAAATTGCAAAACGTTTTTAGTTTAACAGATAAAATAGCTAAAAGATTTTTTCCTTTTTTACTTTTTCCTTTTCTACGTTCTTATCATTATTACATACAGTCATTTTTTATTAAAAAAACTTACTGTCATCCTGCGGCATGATGATCGTTCTGCCGGTGTCGTCACTAGCGCTAAAAAGGCTTATCGGTTGGCCGAGAGGCGGCAGCTTCCATTTCTGCCCTTCGTGAGCTTTTCTGTCCTCGTTATACCTGAAGAAAAGAATTGTGAGATTCGCTAGAATAAATTTCTTTTTTTTTTGTTTGGTTGAGATCGCTTTTTTAATGCTATAAAAACTCCCAGCGCTTCTTGCCTATCAAGGGAAGTCACAGAAACGGTCTACGAAGTAAAATTTTGATTTAAAGTGAATTTTAATAATTTCTGATTTAAATTAATAACACGTTGGTATAATGTTCAATATATGTATCTTTTATAAAGTAGTAAATTTATTACAAGAAATAAAAAAATGCGAATGTATCTGTGTGTGTAATCGACAAGATGTAAAATAAAAATTTAGCTATACAATTTTGCAACGACTGAAAACAGAGCATAATGTTACCAAAATTTAATACGAAGGACAAATCAACATATTCATGTCATACAGGGTGAGCCATGAAGAAGTGTTTATACTCCTACCTCATAGGAAGACCTACATTCCTACCTACAAGGAATGTCAAATTTCCATTAAAAAGTGTCTGCTCCCCTAGTTTAATCTCTTATCTTATACACTCATGGACAAAAATATCGAATATTTTCGAATTTCCAATTTTTTTCCGTAGTCCCTATTATTTCAAAATAATTTTAGATTACTGGTGATACTCATATAGCAGGTTGATGTATTCAACTGGTTTGAAATATTTAGACGTTTATTCAGCGTTTAGTGTCATTCGTACATTTTATCATAAAAATCTTTTTCACGTAAAGGCAACATCATACGAATTCGGTTGTTTTTGGTTTATTTATTAAGTTTAATTAAATATTGTTTTGATTTAACTAAGTTTAAAACAAGTAGGCAACCAACTCGATACTGCGATGAAGCCCAAGGAGCACAGATTGTAATTATGTATGAGGAAGGATAAGCACAAAAAGATATCGCATGACGTCTCAGGAGATGTCAGTCTACATTTTAGAATACTTTAAAAACGTACTATGAAACAGGAAATTTTGTACGAAGGCCTGTTTAAGGACTATCAAGATGCACAACCGCAATTGATGACCGTTATTTGGTTCTTAATTCTACACGATATCGTCCATTGACACCGATGCACCTCAGAAAGGAGCTATTAAATGTTAGACAGGTTAATGTTAGTTCAGAAACAGTTAGGCAAATACTACAAGATGCAAACTTAAAGCCCAGACGCCCGCCAAAGTTCCACGACTTCTCCAAAATCAAGAAGCTCGTCGTTTAAAATTTGCAAGACCATATATTTAGTAAAATATCGACAACTGGAAAAATGTTCTCCTCGCTGATGAGATCAGAATCCTATTATGTAAGCCAGATGGTTAAAACCACGTTTACGGAAGAGTTGGAGAACGATTCGTTAGATGCAATCTCGCTTAGACAGTTTGTTTTGTTAGGTGGTGGCATAATTCGTTGGGAAGGTTGGGAGGGACGCACCGCACTCGTGAAAGTGATTGGACGGATGGCTGGTGACTCTTACGTTTAAAACATCCTGCAAGATCATGTTTTGCCATATGTTGGTTACATTGAATATGACAGATTTATGTTATTGCACGATAATGCTCGACCACATGCCGTTGCATAGTGCGTAATTATCTTAATGAGGTCCAAATTCGAAGATTGGACTAGCCACCGTTTAGCCCGGAATTAAATCCATATGGGATCACCTTAAACACCACATACGACAAAGAAATCTCGTTCCAATTACGATAGAGCAGCTTCGGCGTGATGCACAGCATGAATGGAATGCAATTTCCCAAGAATATGTCCAAAATTTATTTGCAAGCATGCCAAGAAGGATACAAGCAGTAATAAGAGCTAGATGGGGAAATGCTTGTTACTGATCATGCAAAGTCTATTTCACAATTAATGACTTCATTGACTAGAATTTATTTTGAAAAAACAAAAATTAGAAAATTCGAAAAGATTCGATATTTTTGTCCATGAGTGTAATTTAATAACACGTTACGCACCTAAGTTTTTAACCGTTTTAAAACTAAAAAAATCAGAGTCGGCTTTAAAAAATTTGTTCCTGTGTTCATATAAAAAATTTAATCCTGTATATGTTTTTTGAAAACTCTAATAAGGCTCTTAAAAACAATGCAAATAGACAAAAATGTTGAAAAAAATAAAATTTAAATTTTAATTAAATTTAATAAATTAAACGAAATATTTTAAAAAATATCATTTTTATCTGCCATTTTTTTTATTTACAAACATGGTCGCATCAAACTCTGGCGTTATTAGCGACATATAAACATAAATATGAGATAAGTAACTTATAAATAAATATTACATTTTGTTAAGAACATTAATGTCTTTAAGAAATTTCACAATATTTTCACTGGTACACTCACTAAAGATGTCCCTTATAACTGATGGAATTTTATTAGTTAGTCTTTCAGCACTATATTTGGTACACTCCTAACATTTTTCATAATTTTTGTGTTTATTATACTATCTTAACGATTTTTCATATGCAGTTTACGAAAGTGTAAATTATTTAAATTACTTCAATTAATTGGAAAATGCAACATAAATTATTTTCTTCCTCTTTCTTTTTATAAGCAATTCTGCTTGTTCATTTGCAGATTAATACCTCTATGTAAGGTTGAAACTTAATCTTTTGCGCAGTCCCTTGCTATTTTGACAACACGGATCTCCCCCATTGTGCTTATGTGATTATTCTATTCTTTTTTTTTCTATTTTGTGTCCATTCATTTATACACTATACGTTACATCTATTTCTAATATCTTCACTTCTCTTTCGATCTCTCAGCGTATTTCATGTAATTATTCTCAGTACTGTTATCTCCGCCGTTTCCAATAGCCTTTGTGTTCTGGCTGTGTTGAGTTTTGTTTCTGAGACATTTTCGTCATTCATACGTCATTCGGCATTCATAAGTCATTATTGGTCTTACGCTGGCATTATAAATTGTTGACTTCATTTTAGTATGAATCTTTTGTCATCTAGTGTTAATAAGGCATTATTTTAGTCTATTTGCTTTTTGTATTTGATCTCTGACTGCTTTATCCAGGTGTCTATAGTTGGACAGTGTAATTACAAGGTATTTTATTTTCCAGTACTTGTTCAATAATAATGCAATTAATTTCTATTTTAGATCTGGTTGGTTCTTTGCTGATTAATATTTAGTTTTCTGAGATGGTATTGTCACAATTATTTTTCTCTTATGTTAAATCTGTGGACCAGTCTTTGTAGACTATCTTCATCTTGGACTATCAATATTGCATCGTCTGCGTAACAGAGTATTTTTATTTGTTTTTTCCCATTCTGTTCCTTTGTTAATGCTTTTAATGATGAATAATGAAATTAAAGAGCATAGGGCTCCCATCTCTTTTGATGATTTATTTTCAATATCAGAAATATTTGGACACTATCTTTGTTTACAGATTTTGTGAAGGAAGTGGTAGAAATAAAACCAGTAGAGAACATCAAAAACGATTTTCAGAATATCAAGTTTCGAATCATGAAAAATTTGGATTAGTATTTAAATATTTAAATAATAATTTAACATTTCAAAAATATTAAAATTTAAACGATTTACATAAAAATGTTAATCAGATTTTATAATTTGAAATCAATCTAGCGTTTCTCAATTAAAAGGTAAGTCACAATAATTAACATATTTATTACATTCAATAAGTTCAACAATTTAAGTAAAATCCTTATACGATTCGGGAATCACGTACGCAGTATAGATTTTCAGTTCAATATTCAGATAGGAACAATATACAGACAACTAAAGTACTCCATTTTTTAATGCACCACTTTGTCGTGTATTTAGATTTTTTGCAAGAGATTTTGCCTAATTTATTAGCCAATACCGCCATATGAAAGATGTAATTTATTCACGATGGGACATCACCACATTTCTTAGACTGTCAACATCTTCATCACATATACGGAAATAGGTGGATAGGATGTGGAGGTTCCCATGCATGACCATCTAGATTCCTTAACTTTGCCCACCTTTAATGGTCTTTAGTGAAATATAAATACACGGCAATAATAATTAATTAACAGAATTGACGATGTATAGCAGCAGGTGAATTTTATTTCCAAAATATGTTATAAACCTTATAGCATATTTAAGAAAAATAATTTTCACTTTGGTTTTTGTTATATCGTTTTAGAGTTTTTTAAGTTTTTTATTTAATTTGTTTACTATTACATATTTTTAATTTTTTTTAAATATTTAAAGAAGCTGGTGATGATCAAGAAATTAGAAAGGCTATCTTACTACTATTTAGAGAAGAATTAATAATAAATAACTTAAAATTTGAAGGATCACCCAGTGATGTGGGATAAAAGGATAAAGGAAAAAAAGATAAACGAAATAAGCCTATAAATAATTAGCGAAATAGGTATCGAGACCTAAAGAAAAATAGTTTTATTTCCAAATAATAACAGACCGCATATCTGATAAGTCATTACAGTTATTTGCTTACGTTTCGGTTGATTATCCTAATAAGATTATCCATAAGTAGATATAATTTAATTAAATTATGTATATATTTTAATAAAACTTTTGTAAAAACGCTATTTTTTCTCTCAAAAATTTATGTTTATCATTGGGTCTCTTCTTACATTGATTTTAATCTATTCATATGAATTTTCACTAGTACACATGGTAGGTGAAGTGTAACAAAAAATGTGTGTGACTGAGAGGTTTAGGACGCCAATGCAATAAAAGTGTATATATGTAATGTAACACAAGTATTTGGGGTAATGTAAAAGATAACGTATAATTTAAAACTGGTTAGCAGAAGGTGCCGGAGAGTGACTACTTAACACTCAAAAGAGGATTCGGCCAATTTGCATGCCCTACAGAGACCATAGAATAAGAAAATGAATGACAAGGTAATAGTCTATAGGTATATAACTAATGTGAATAAAAGTGATTATAGAAGTTGCTCCAAAATGTGGAGTTATGGATGTTAACCTAGTTAATTATATACAAAAAATAAATTCCTTGGTTATACACAACTGATCCTTGATGATCTAATCTA